CAATAATATCAACAACAATACCAGCCAAATATAAGCAGATCTGAAAGGAGCCAAATAAAGCTGACAGCCAACAAAAGGTATAATGAAAAAGTTGAGAAAAGAATTCGTTCGAAATGAATGCAAAGAAAAAGTGGTGATCAGACAAAAACTACACACCCCGAGTCTCATTGTGCGCCATACAATTGTACCTATGGCACATATGCACACACATGTGTGCATATCAATCTACATATGTGTATGTGTATGTATGTATGCCTGAACTTACATGTGTTGCACGCGAAGGTTGAAGGCATTGTGGATCCATTGGTCATGGTACAAATCAAACCGAACTGAACTGAACTGAAATCCAACGCACAACAAATGGTCAAAATATGCCCCAAGTTGTGTGCTCGCATGCAGCTACAACAACAAAATGCAGCAACAAAACAAAAATACTGGATTATACTGTCTTTTATAGGGATATGGGTGCGAAAGCAAGAAAGCGGCGACACAACACAACTGCAACCAGCTGAAACGACAGCCATCAGCTCAACTAAGTAACACCGAAAAATCAGGCGGCACAATGAAATGCAAATTATAAGTAAACCTAGGTACATATATATATACATGTATGTAGGTGTATAGATTGGTACAATATAAGATGACATTGATAGTGATGCATAGACGATTAAAGATTATGGCGACCAGCAGACACAAATAAATAAATAGTATTCACTGTCAATGAGAAGGATTATCAAGCAAAAACAAGAAGAAAAAACCAAAAAAGTCATGCTACTAGAATGCCTGATGACTTTCAAGTTTATAAAAGACGCACTTTAATTGTTGAGATATAATGCAGAAGCGTTTTGAAAGAGCAAAGTCACATACATATTTATATTAATATAATATGTATGTGCATACATATGCACTATTTAAGCCAAGCTCTATGCAATATGATATCGGAAGAGAACCTACCAACTCGTAATTATTTGATTTTATTATTCAGAATACCTTGAAACGTAAAGAGTTGTTAAAAAGGCTTAAAGGAGCTCAATTTATAGCAACTTTCAAAAACATACAGTGAATCTAAAAAGTACGTGACAAAAAATAATAATTTATAAAATCTAAATTTTCGATTTAAGAACCGTTATCACAATTTCACCGAAAACAAGTTAACTTCGGCTGCACCCAATAAAAGTGTATAAAAAGATATTTATTTTGATTTTGATCAGTCAGTTTTTATGGCCCTTATATGCGATTCCTCCTCGCGGATGCATATCTTTTGGCGATGAGGGCGCTCAGTAAGTACAATGCTCCTGAGAGATATGTCAGAGGTAGCTTAACTACTGGCAGAGCATCTCAAGTCGTTATGGTCGAAGTTGAGTACCGAAGCTAAATAAGTCCATAATCCTTCTACGATGGAGGTAGTAGCGTCTGTTCACAAGCGAGTGACGTCTACAATGGTCGTCTGTCTTGGAGCAAGCGACTCGCAAGTATAAATGTATAAATTTTAATGGCAAGTTCGCAGTTCAAGGTAGCAGCGCTAGCAACGAAGTAGAAATCCTGAGCAAATCACCAATTTTTTTGAAAATAATGGATTACTGAAGCCAATTAGGTCCTACGCTCCAACCGGAGTTAAAGGAAATACTATATATATACATATATGCTATAGTGGTCCGATCTCAACAATTTGCTCGAAGATTGTAGCGTTTTACTGGCCAAGAATCATTCGGAAGAGATTCGTAAAATTAGCTCATTGAACAAAAAAGTTTTCCCTACAAGGACTTGTTGTTCATCGTTCAGTTTGTATGGCAGCTATATGCTATAGTGGTCCGACATCGAAATTTCTGATAGATTACCAGTTGCTTGGAGATAAAGAGACGTGTGCAAAATTTCAAAGCGATATCTTAAAATCTGAAGCTTTAGTTTGTATATACAGACGGACATGATAAAATCGAGACAGCTCCTCACGTTTATCATTCATATATGTACGTATGTATGGTAAGAAAATTTCAAGGCGATCGGTTCAACCGTTTCGGAGAAATTTTCCTCACCGATTCTAAAAACAAAGTTTCGAAAAAAACGCGTTTAAAATAGTTCAAAAATTCTTACAAATATCTCTGAAACTATTTGCCGTAACAACTTTAAATTTTCTGAGTATATTTACAAATACATATATGAACGTTTGTGATATATGCACAATAGCCGAAACTGACAGCCGTTTCAACAAATTCGTGATAGGTTCAAAGCGCTTTGTCGATTTGTAAGGGTCATATGATCTAATATAATATATATAAGTTTTTTAGGTACCACAACGCACTGACGTTTTAAAGGTGTATTCTGGTTTAGATAAAAAAACAAATATTTTTACATACATTTTTTAATATGTTTTTTGTTGATATTTAAAGAGTACAAATCAATCATAATATTAAAAAAAATAATAATAATTCCAGGCCGGCAAAGTGGGGAGTAATAAAAAAAATGGCGTGTCTTGGTGTGCAGGATAGCAGGACACCCAATAATCCGAAATGGAAATTGTTGAGTGATCCTTAAAGAGGAAGTATGTAGCTATAGCACTACGAGAGGATTTTGAAACATTTTTTTCACAAATTGGCGGCTGTTTGAAAAATATGTTTCGTTATTTACCTGTTTTTTTGACGATCAGAATTTTTAAAATATAAAATAAAAAAAATTTACAAAAATCCGCTCGCGATAGTATAATGTATATAGAAGCTCTGTATATCGATTCAGTAGAACTTGAGATATCATGCAAACCGTTTCTAAAAAAGTAGTTAAGAGAAAAACGACCTCAAAGCTCGCGCCGAGCTGTCAGTCGACTTTGTCCGCGCATCACAAAATCAGCTGTAACTCCGAAAATAATTGAAATTTCAAAAAATCTTTTTAGGGACATATTCTTAAAGGGTATAACTGCAATAATATGCAAAATAAAAATTGCTTTTTTTTAATTTCTAAAATAGAATACCCCCTTAAGCTGTCCAAGTGAGATCCCTCTTGAGATCGATGTCGTATGCACAAAGAAAAAAATATTGAAATTCTCAAGAGGATATAACCCTTTAAACTGGATTACGTGACGACCGAGTTGTTGTAAGTCATCTCAGAAATTTGTAAACATTTTAGCATTAGTATGAATTCAAGCATTGCACATGAACTGTGTATGTATATACATATGTATGTGTGAAAATTTGTATGCAACATTACTACGTTTGTATGTATTTTCAAGCCAAAAAATATATACCATGACACAGCCGCTTATTCCGGCCAACTAGGAGTTTTTTTTTCCAAATTTCTAAACATATTGCTTTTCTTTCAATTTATAGCCGGTAATAGGCGAAAGAATAAAAATCCGTCACAGCTGCAGGCGGGTGGCGGGAATCCAGTTTTGACCGCGCATCGTACCTTTTGTGGATATGTTTCTATTCATTTTGCAGTTGATATACACATACTTATGTAGCATGCGGATTGCTTAAGCCAAGCACATATCATGCATACATAAGTACACACATACATGTGCTACAAAATAGTCTGTTCGCCGGCCAACAGTACCTACAAAACTCCGAGCAACACACACAGCACACAACAACAGTCCACTCTTCGCTGGTCTGCCCACAGCAATCCCGCTGTTTTGAACTCACAACTCGTATTTTTATTTTTATGGCTGTGAACTTCGTTGTTTTGCTTTCTTTTGTTGCTTCGCACCTTTCCAACGTTCTTTACCAAAGTTTTTTTTTTTTTTTTGTTGAGCTAGCTTCTTTGCTTGTCTTATTTTTTTGGTTTAATATTAAGTGTAGGTAAAATCGCATATTCGTCGATTTTTTTGGTGTTTTCTTCACACCTCCATTGCAATTCACTGGAAGAGACCACTATGAGGTTCCTTTTGTATGCCTATTGTATTGTAGGCATTGTTATATTTTTGGTGTTCTTGCTAGTCTTCAGCAAGCTCGAAAGATGTTTTGAGCAAACACCGAAAGCGCTAAACTAAAAGCTAAGTCTACTTGATATGTATGCATATGTATATACATATGTATGCAGGTGCCATGAATGTATGTTTCCACGTGCTACATATTAAGCTTCATATGAAGTTCATGCAGCGCTGGTCAAAACAAGCAATATGTACTCCGCACAGCTTGGTAGAAACGAGCTGAAAGGCTCTCGGCTTTTTGTCGGCTGTCGGGTGATGGAACTGTCGTTGCCTTTCACACTTTAAATTTCCGTTGTTTGACTTGTCTGTGTTTGTTGTTATTACTACAGATGCTGAAGTGAGCAGTTTTCTTTTAATTTTTTTCGTTGTTACTTCGCTCAATCTTCAGCCTACACACCACTAAATATATAACTTTAAATGAATAATCTTCATGTAGGAAGAGACATGACATGAAAACATGTAAAGATCTAGATATGGAATACATATGAACTATATTTTTCCACCGATATCGAGAGACTCTCATAACGGTGTGTAGTTAAATACTTTAGTCTATAAATTTATAGTTTAAATAAAATTGTATAACACTTTGGTATATTTTTTTTGTAAATGTTTTTTTTTTTTACACTATGCTCTAGAAAAAAATTCAAAGTACTTCACATGAGATTTTTGGCGAAATTTTTGTTTGTGAAGGTTAAATAATATTCACTTTTAGAAAAATTAGAATTATAGAAATTATATCAAATCTGTATACATATCTACTGTGTAGAGCTTGAAACTAAATGTTGTCACTTTAAATTTAAGATAAATGTAAAAGATTCGAGGTATAAATAATTTTTGCTTCATTCATTACAAAAAAAAAAATTGCATATCCTTAAATTTGCTTCATCTTAAATTTCAAAGCACTTGAAACTGTGCTTGCTAAAAAATATGGCATACACATGATTTAGGGTTGTTTTACCCCCATTAGCTCTGCCTCATAAGCTAACGCAAAACTTTACCATTACAACATTTGTAGATAGGAAAATATGTAAGTTATATACATATATAGCTATTTACGCAAATTTATATAAAATATGCTCACCATCAATCCAATAGTTTCACCGTTTAGTTATTAAATTAAATTTCCTTTTATTTTCTCGAAAATAAAATCCTTATTGTACACTTTAAGCAACTCGGCAATTTAATTTTGTCAAATAAAAACTGGACACAGATTGTATTTATTAAATTCACTATTTTCTGCAAGTTTTTATATTTCTTTTATAAAAATTTTAACACATATTTCTCATTAATTTAAAGCATTTTTTCTTTAATATTTTCATGTATTTTATACGTTTTTTACACAACACTTAAGAAATAGTTTGTGGTAATTTCTATGCGCAAAGTTACAGCGTTTGCGCCCAATTCGTAATAACGATATAAACGTATTAAACCACAACGCCACACTGACTGCCGCAGCCTCAGTGTCGTCGACAATGTTTGTCCGCCCGCTTTGTAATCATTTTCATTTGCCTGATTTTCACTTCGCTGTTGCTGCACACACACATACTCCCACTGAGTTTGTTCAATCGAAGCAAAAACAAAAAAAAAAACCAGAATAGCAAGCTGCTATTCTTACAGGGCACTACTCAATTGTTTTTTGTTGTTGCTGTTGCTATTGATGCCACTGCCGCTACTTCTATCCTACACAGCAGTTGCACACCCAAAGTGTGAATGCACCACAGACGAATACAACAAAAATAGCACCTCACATTCAACCATTTAATTTGATTTGATTTTGCCTTTTCTTCTTTTTCTATGCGCAAGTGTGTGTGTGCACTTCTGTGTGTGTATTTTTGTTCTCCTCTTTTGGGCACTTTCTCGTTTAAATCTGCTTGTTCGGTATTGCCGCTGAGGTATTGTATTTGCTAGCTACCCACCGCATCCGCTTGGTGCGAAAACAAAAACAACAACACAACATAAAACGAAAAACAATACGAGACGTCGACGTCACTGCCGATGCCGACGTAAACAACACAGCGAGATTCCGTTTTTCTTCCTACGTTTCGATTACGTTCTTTTTTTCTACTTGCTTTTGCTTTTGCACTGATTTTGTTTTCTTTCCTAAATTGCTTTTGCCCATACACTTTTCGCTTTACTTTTCTGCATTTACAGACGTAGACAAAATTTAGTTAACTTTATTGAGGATTTCACTTTAATATCCTTACTAATATCAAACACTTGGAAAATATTTTGATAATTTTCATTTATTTTATATGTTTAGGCACTTTTATTGGTTTATTTCTCATTGAAATATTTTATAATCAACAATTTAGAGGGCTGCAAACTTTTCACGTAAATCTAAAATCAAAGAACGAAAATTACTAACTGTAGTTGCCACGTTGATGAGCTCAGCGAAACATCTCTCATTGTCGAAATTTACTGATTTTGTTGTAAAAATCATAATTCACCAATATAAGCAATTCATGGTCTATATTTTCTGAAAAAGTATTAGCAAAAATACAATATTTGAGCTTTATTTTCAATTTTATTTCGGCAACCTCAGGTTTTTGTTGTTGCGTACATATGGCAATGATTGATAAATCAGTGTTGTAGAAGAGGGTATATACAGAGAACGTAATATAATATACGTTCTCTGGTTGTAGCCCCTTTTCTCTGATATAATATATAATAATTTACATTTTTAAATCAAAATTTTATTGTAATATAATTACAGATTATCAAATAACAGCTCCTCTTAATATTTAAGTCACTGGGTATTGAAACGAAATTGCATTCCTTTAAGTTAAACGTAATGTCGTGTGATTAGAAAATATCCGTTCTCTGGTGTGATATGTACATTTTTGTAGTTGGCAACGCAATAGAATCAAAACAAACAAACATAATTTCAACCCATATGATTTTGACGCTCAAGTTACATACATATATATATATGTTTTTATTGCATCAGTTATTCAGACAAGATGTTTATTTTGCAAACAATATCTAAAACAAATTTAATTTATCAATGTCAACGCACTTTTAATAGTATTTCTACTAACAAAAACATTCAATTGCTTAACAAACTTAAAAGCGTCAATTTACAAAAACGTGAACTATGGGGTTACGTAGCAATTGCATTCAACAAAGTTGACAACGAACGACTATCCAAAGTGGGACCGGATCGGCTGTGTGCAGAATGGATATTGAAAAATGGTGGTGCAGTTGGTTTAGTAGGCATGCAAAATAGAGTACTTAAGGACTATAATAGTCTGCCACCAGAGTCGGTAAAATTCAATCTGCAAGTCATTGATGCCACTAATGCGTCTATTATGAAAATGGGACTTGATCATTTTGCCGGTTGTCGACATATAGATACGGTTATATTTCACAATTGTAAGCATCTAGAAGATGGTGGTCTTGAGGGTTTAGTGCATTTGAAAAGCACGCTAAAAAGATTACAAGTTTCTGGTTGTTATAATCTGAGAGACAGCTGCTTTGATGTAGTAGCTCAGTTGTCGGCGCTAGAACAGTTACGTTTATTCGATTTGTTATATGTAAAGGATATACAAGGCATGGCTACTAAACTACGACAAGCGCTACCAAATTGCAAAATTGAAGTGAGAGCCTCCCAGTAAACTGATTTTCAAACTGAAAATGTACATACATACATTTAAATATTTCTGGAAATAAAAGTGTCTTTTCGTTAATATTATGCCAGAAAAATTACATATTTTCGTGCATATATTTTCATCGCTTATTTTCAACATGTGTAACGATTCGTGTTGTTCCTTAAGATACACGCTATCAAATCGAACACCTTTTAAATGTGTAATCATCGTTAAGTGTACATATACTCACAAATAAATATATTTGCATACAAAATTATTTAAAAACAAAATTAATTATCTTTGATATTTCTGTATTAAGTTGTGTTTTTAATAAAGTCAACATTGATAATTAGCCATTGTTCCAAAAAATATTCATTGAAAGCACCATTCCATATTCTTCTTCTTCATTGAGCTTGCAATTTTATGCCAATTAGCTTTTAAATAAAATAAATAAAACAGAAAAAATGTAGAAAATAAAGTTGAAGCTAAAACTAAACGGTAGGCATAAATGCATAATGCTAAAGTCGTAAGTATGTGCAGAGACAATACAAGCAGCAATTTGAATTTACATTAATTTCAAGGTCTCAATTGCTGCAATGATTCGTTGCACTTCACCCTCCGACTGCTGCAGTTTCTCCGTATTGGCCGTTTGCACTTCAGCCGGCACTTTGGTTGCATAATCAGCAGCCTGTATAGCTTGCTTCAATTTATGCACAGTTTGGTCTAACTGTTCCTTACGTTTCTGCAATTTCGTAATTTCCTTCTCCGATTCGATGAGACCCTTGAGCAACAAATGCACTTCACATTGCGCGCTCACAGTGAGTATTGCGCAACCCGCTGGCGGTTGAGTAACAAATTCGATTTTGGAACAGTAGGCAATTGTGTTCAAATCGCTCGCATATTTTTTAAGAATCGCATTGGGCTGTGCATCGGTGCAAACAATGTACGCCTCGGTCTTCACTTTATTGGGTAGATTGTAATCGGAACGTGCTGAACGTATGATACGTGCGGCTTTTTGCATGAACTCCACATCTTTTTCCACTTTTTCATCGTGCCAAGTAACGTTATCTGCAACAAGCAATGTTTACATTTTGGTGACATAAGCAGAAAAAAATACAATAAAACTTACCTGGATATGCGGCCACGCAAATGCTGGGTGTCGTACCGGCGCGTGGTAGTCGTTGGAATAATTCCTCGGTAATGAATGGCATGAACGGCGATAATATGCGCAAACCGAAATCTAAACACACGAATAGCGTACGACGCGCTGCAGCTTTCTGTGCATCACTGCCATTTTGGAAGATCGGCTTCACGCATTCCAGATACACATCACACAAATCGTACAACCAAAAGCTATAACAAGCGCTGGTCGCCGCTGCAAAGTCATATTGTATAAAAGCATTGTTGCATGTCTCAATAGCCGTGGCCAGACGAGATAGCACCCACAAATCCATATTGTTTTCGTTGCCACTGAGCGGCAAATCCGCTGTATATCGTTCATCGCCGGTAAAGTACATCAATGCAAATTTCGTTGCATTCCACAGTTTGTTGCAGAAGAAACGATAGCCTTGCACACGATTAATATCCAGATTAATATCACGCGCTTGTGTAATATAAGCGCATAGTGCAAAACGCAGCGCATCGGAACCGCATTCTGGAATGCCATTTGGGAAATCTTGCTTTTGGCCAGCCTTGGCTTTTTCAATTTCACGTGGATCCAAATTGGAATCGTACAGTAGCTTATGTAAGTCCTCAAGTGTTATGCCACGAATAACGTCCATGGGATCGATGACGTTACCCAAGGATTTGGACATTTTACGTCCGTGTGCATCACGCACCATTGGATGCAAATACACTGCCTTGAAGGGCAATTTGCCGAGCAGCTTTTGTCCGAAGAATACCATACGCGCAACCCAGAAGAAGAGTATATCATGCCCGGTTTCTAGCAATGTTGTTGGGTAAAAAGCTTGCAAGTCTGCCGTATTGTCAGGCCAACCGAAGACAGAGAAGGGGAATAGACCGGAACTGAACCAAGTGTCTAGCACATCTTCATCTTGGTGTAATACGATTTTGCTGGGATCCACTTTAAATCTTTCTGCAGCTTTTTTAAGAGCTTCTTGCTCTGAACGAGCAACGATCCAGTAAGCCTCATCGTCGGCCTGTAAAAAAACATACAGAAATTAAATTAGTTTTTGTATTTTTGAAGAGAAATTTTTTAAAATATTATATAATTTACCCGCACATCCGAATTAATAAGCTTATGCATAATTAAAATAACAAAATTAAAGTCATGAAAAAATAATGTATTATGGCTAATGTCAACAAAGTACTAACCGTGCCGGCTTTAATGCTGTCATCATTGAAGCTCACATGATAGGCCGGTATACGATGTCCCCACCACAATTGACGCGAGACACACCAATCGCGTATGCCCTCCATCCAGTGGTACCAGATTTTCGTATGATGTTCTGGTATGATTTTCAAGTCACCCTTGCGCACGGCTTCAGTTGCGTCAGCGGCCAATTGATCGCATTTGACGTACCTAGCGTAAAATTTGTAAGTTGTTAATGTTTTGTACACAAACTTAACTGTACGCCACATACCATTGCGGTTTGATCATGGGTTCCACTACGTCTTTCGAGCGACTGCAGAACGGCACGACCATAGGATTATTGACAGTCTCGCGATACAGACCCAGTTCCTTGAGTTTTTCCAGTATGCGCTTGCGACAATCGAAGCGTTTCATGCCCTTGAATTCACCATAATCGCCGATAATGTAGCCATCATCATTGAAAATTGTTATGAATGGTAGATTACAGCGTTTGCCCACATCATAATCGTTAGGATCGTGAGCAGGTGTAATTTTCACGGCGCCAGTACCGAAATTCATATCAACAAAATCGTCTAAAACGATTGGTATACGACGATCGCTGAATGGATGTTGCACGAATTTGCCATGCAAGTGTTTGTAGCGTTCATCTTGCGGATGTACAGCCACAGCAGTATCACCTAGCATTGTTTCAATACGTGTAGTGGCCACCACAACCTCTTCATCGGAATTCTCGATTTTGTAGGCAAACTTTATTAGCACACCAAATTCTACCTATAATGGAATATAGTGATTAGCATATGGAAAACTTTTTTTTTTTTTTTTTATAATTAAAATACCTTCTCATCATAACCGGGTATAGAGAAAAATGTTCTACCGGGTATATCAATTTTGTCGACTTCAATATCTGATATAGCTGAACGCAGCGCACAAGACCAGTTTACAAGACGCGCACTACGGTAGATACTACCATCCTCATGCAGACGCACGAAGGCCTCGGTAACAGCCTTACATAATTTTGAATCCATGGTAAAAGCCACACGCGTCCAGTCATACGACGAGCCCAAACACTTAAGTTGATCGTAGATACGCACACCTTTTTCTCGCCGCCAATCCCATATTTTTTCTATGAACTTTTCACGTCCCAAATCGTGTCGTGTAAGCTTTTCCTCACGCCACAGTTTTTTTTCAACTACCACTTGCGTGGCTATGCCAGCGTGATCACAACCTGGCACCCATAGCGTAGTAAAACCCTTCATACGATGATAACGCGTAATTGCATCCTCAATAGCATTAGTTAAAGCATGGCCCAAATGTAGTGAACCAGTCACATTAGGTGGTGGTATTACCATAACAAATTTGCCTTTGGGATTCGGTGCGGATATACTCGTACGCTTTAGGCAGTAAAACAATAAAAATTTACTTTGTGAAAAATAACAAATTTGACATTATAAAAATTACAGAGAATATGCATATAAGTGACGAAACTGCAATTCATGTTTCATCAGCTGTAATGGACGGGAGGGCAATGTGCTGCACCTATATGCAAACATTAAAGCTGACTCACATTCTCTATTTCTAACATATATATGGACAGGTGTTTGTTATACATACATATATATACATGTAGCGTGTATTTTGAAGACTACTTACACCATATTCTGGTGTGAAAAATCCTTCTTTTTCCCACCAACTATACCACTGAGCTTCAACATATCGTGGACTGTAAGCGTCTGGTAGTGCGCCTGTTATATCTTTCTTCTCGCCAAGTGCAGTATTTGCCGTATATACAACAGCCTCTTTGGTCTCCTTCACCTTTTTCTGCAATGTTGACAAATTAAAACCAATAAACAATGCAGAAATATTAATGCAAAGCACAATAACAAAGGGCACCACGGTAGTTGTTGATTTTTACTTTCACTTCTGTGCCAACATTGCAATTGTAATATGTAAGTACATGTGTATGTACACATTTTTTTTTTCATTTTTGGTAGGTTATTGTTTTGAGCACTCACCTCTGGTTTTTCTTTTTTTTCCGTTGCTGCGGGAACAGCTGCTTTTTTGTCCAACTTTGCTTGTAATTTGGCCAATTTTTCGGCCTTTTTAGCCTCTTTTTCCAATTGTTTAGCAGTTTTTGGTGGACCAGCCGCAGCCACCTCGCCGGTTGCAGGTCCTGATTGGGTCACAATTTCACCGTTTGTATTTGCCTGCTCCATCTTAATTTAGCAAGTAACTTCAATTGAGGTTTTAGAAGTAACGACCTATGTAAATATTAAATTTGCAGACGCAAATTTTAGTTAATTATGTAGGTTTGGATGCCACGAGGTACTACTGCAATACGAGGCAATATTCACACTTTGTATTGAAATTTGTTGAAAAATGACAACTAAAGTGAATGAAGTGTTGTAGTAGTAATGCTGACCACTTACTACAATTTATTGCGCGATAAAGTTGTAGTAATAAAAATTGTGAACTCTATTTGCGTTTTGAATGTTAATATATTGTCTACCAAATTGTTTCAAAAAATGTTTTGTAATTTAGCAAAATAATGCATGTATAAAATATTTACTAATCTTAAGAGTTAATTAAAGATATATGACTATTTTTCAATTATTTGGCGGCGCTTATTGTTGGCTATAATCGGTTCCGATTTTTCTTATCGATTTCTGGCACTTGCGGCAAAGTCAACAAACTACGATCACTATCTTAGAATATTCACTTTTCTTTATCATTTTCGTTCTTTCTGTTTGTAGATTTTTCACTTTTATGGCAAATAAGTAGCATTTAAATCATTAAAATGTGCATAAACGTTTAGAAAATACCAGGTGGTATAAAAAATAAATAAAAACACAAACAGAAAACGTCGTAAATTAAAATATTGCAAAAACAAAAGTAAGCAGTTGCGAAGAAGTTGATTTTTTACCCCCCTGTCCGGTGTACGATTACAAGGAAATGTCTTCCGAGCTGAAAAAACTTTCAGAGGAATCCCTTCTACAGCCTCCAGAAAAGGTTTTTGACATTATGTGCAAACTTGGCGAAGGTAGCTATGGTTCCGTATATAAAGCCTTGCATAAAGAGAGTAGCTCAATAGTCGCCATCAAATTGGTGCCTGTAGCGTCCGATCTGCATGAAATTATTAAGGAGATCTCCATAATGCAGCAATGCGATTCGCCGTATGTGGTGCGCTATTATGGTTCCTATTTTAAGCAATATGATCTGTGGATATGCATGGAGTATTGTGGTGCTGGTAGTGTATCGGATATAATGCGGCTACGTAAGAAAACGCTAACCGAAGACGAAATAGCAACGATACTCTCCGATACCTTACAGGGTTTAGTGTATCTGCATTTGCGTCGTAAAATACATCGTGATATAAAGGCTGGCAATATATTGTTGAACACAGAAGGCTATGCTAAATTAGCAGATTTTGGTGTAGCAGGTCAACTCACAGATACGATGGCTAAACGTAACACTGTTATTGGCACACCATTTTGGATGGCACCGGAAGTAATCGAAGAAATCGGTTACGATTGTGTAGCAGATATTTGGTCGCTGGGAATAACAGCATTAGAAATGGCCGAAGGTAAACCACCATATGGGGACATACATCCTATGCGTGCCATTTTCATGATCCCACAAAAACCACCACCATCTTTTCGTGAACCCGATCGTTGGAGTGCTGAATTTATTGATTTCGTTAGCTTGTGCCTGGTAAAAAATCCCGATGAGCGTGCCACTGCTTCCGATCTGCTCAATCATGAATTTATACGCAACGCAAAGCCGCGTAGTATACTCAAACAAATGATCGAAGAAACTTGTGCAATACGTGAACAACAGCGCGCAAACAGAACCGGTGGTATGAGTCAAGCCAAAAACTTGCCCACGCAGCAAGAGGAGTTGCTGCCAGAAGAAGAACACGAATTTCAAGCGGAGACTGTTAAAACATTTATTGATGATCCGGGCACTTTAGTGCCTGAAAAATTTGGCGAATATCAACAGGCATCGGGCAGTGATGCCACAATGATAGCACATACTGAAGATAGTGGTACGCTGGGCCCTATTAACCGTGCAATGGGTGTCGCCACCGGCGTCGACAATGCAGGCGGCAGAGCGGTTGATGTTAGTGCTGCAGCAGATTCGGGAACGCTCATAGAACTGGAATCGAATTTAGGTAAGCCACAAGCGCTAAATACAATACAAAAAATATTATTATTACTTGCTTACAGGCACAATGGTCATCAAGACCGATTCGGATGACTCCACCACGACTAAGCGCAACGAATTTAACAAGCCACGCTATCGCCCCAAATTTCTCGATCACTTCGAACGTAAAAATCCTGGCGAAGCAGCCGTGCCAACACGCATTGGTGACGATTTGGAAAAATCAACCAGTTTTGCTGCTAATACCGAACAGTATCAAGCAAATACCACACAACAACAACAACAGCAGCAGCAACAACAGCAACAGCAACAACATTTAATGCAGTCACAACAGAATCATAACAATTCGAACGACACGAACTGGGAAAACAATATGGAAATGCAATTTCAACAAATCTCTGCTATCAACCAGTACGGCCTTCAACAGCATCAGCATCATTTGCAACAGCAGCAGCAACAACAACAGCAACAAGCTGCAGCTGCAGCAGCAGCGGCCTATTATGGTCATCCGCTAGTTAGTGATCAACACTTGTTGGCCATAAATAATCAGCAAAATCTATTGCGTAGTCAACAGCAACAACAACAACCACCTGCCTACCAGCAACATCATCTGCACACACAATCGCACAGCTATATGGATGGTGAATTTGAATTCTTGAAGTTTCTCACATTTGACGATCTAAACCAGCGTTTGAATAACATTGACTCCGAAATGGAGAAGGAAATCGAGGAGTTGAACAAAAAATACAATGCCAAACGTCAGCCAATTGTCGACGCTATGAATGCAAAACGAAAGCGTCAACAAAATATTAATAATAATCTAATTAAAATTTAAATACACGCAAGCTGTTACAGAGCAAGAGAGATATAGAGATAGAGAGAGAGAACGAACAAATTGTTACTCAAATAAGGTTAAAAAAAAAGCAACTGCACTTGCGATTATGTAAAACAAACAATATTAAATAAATTATCTTCTGTTTGTGTTTAGGGTGCAACAAATTGACAATTTCTTTAACGAAATGATTTATGAATGTTTATTTGTAATTTAGTTATTAGCAATAGATACAATTTTCGCATTATAAATTGTAATAAAACTCGAATTGCTATTTAGAAATAATAATAATAGAAGCAAATGCAATTATATGCTCATTTTTAGTAATACAAACAATAAAAGCCAAGCGAAAAAATCATAGCGCCCACATCTATGTGGCGACATTAGCTTTACAATTGTATTCAAAACTATGTTAAATTTATAGCAATGCGTGTATGTAGAGCAAGCAAATTATTTAATGTGTGTAGAAAATTGGAATTTGTAAACGAAAAGCAAAGTTGTAAGGTGCTGGCGTCAATGCGGTGCATATCACAGCAAATGGTATAGCCATACATATATACATACATACATATGTAGTATGTAGTAGTATTTATAATGAGAAACGAAGAAACCTTTACAAAATTCTCACATATTTAGTGTAGGATAAAAGTTTAATTTTTGGCAAACTGTAAGAAATGAAATTGCGTGCAAACGCATTACTGCAATGCAATTCTTCATGAATGCCATTACACTCTGCCCTCCTCCTGTTAACAATAACAATAAGCTCGAATTGTATGCTAATTATGTATGCAACAAACAAACAACAACTATATTTGGAACGAAAACGTATACCCAGTTGGCATAGTTGTACATAAATATAAGAAAAATTATTTAGTTATGCGCTCCGAAAATATATCGTTATTACTTTGGTACATTTTTGAACTAAAAATACCGTCAATATTGTAAGCAATGTAAATTAGTAACGGGTTTGCGATTTTTTTATTTCAACATATTTGGGGTAACAATAAGATTTAAAAATTTTTAATAACAATTTTGAGATTAAAAATTAAATTTTCTCTTATAATTCTGATTTTGGGATTAAAAATCAAATTTTCAATCATAATTCCGATTTTCTGATTAAAAATAAAACTTTCAATCCGTTATTTGCGCTTAAAAATATTTAAATAAAAAAAATTAATAAAATAAAATAATTTTTTTTTATATATTGTTTGCAACCGTGTTCAGTTTTATGTATAATGAGGCTAGTAAAATCCACCTCGCTTTTGTCACAAATAGTTTGCGCTAAATAATTTGAAATATTATGTTATATAAAATATAAAATTATATACAATATATAAGCTAATATTTTAATATTTTTTTTTTTCATAAAAAAGTAAAAAAAATAATTTTTTTTTAATAAAAAAAAAAAAATTTTAGTAAAAAAAATAATTTTTTTTTTATATATATTTTTTTATATAAATTTATTTTTTTTTTAAATCCATTTAAGTAGTTCAACCATGGCCGACTGGGTGTCGCGTTGAAATAATATATTATATATCTAACTTTTTTTTTTAGTATCATAAGCAGTGGTTCAACGACATTAAGCTTTGTTGTATTCTTCTTCTTACTTGTTCTTCCGTTTTTTGTGCTCAGCTCGCGTGACTAAAAAATCTTTAGCAGCGTAAAAGCATTTCATAAATTTGTATTCACTGCATGAAAGCAGCTCATTACAGTCAATATACATATGACTACATAAGTAATATATATATATATATATATATACACATATAGTATATATAAATATACAAAATTAAATATACATATATATATGCAACATTTTTTAAATAAAGAAAAAAATGTAAATAAGATTTTTAAACTTATTTTAGCTGCTTATTATTTAACATGGATTAGAGTTCGCGACTGTGGATAGCATCAAACCCACAAAAAACACAAGAAAAAACGAAAAAAAAACCGAAGCTTAATACCCCTCACAAACAAAAAAAAAACGTTTATATGGCAGCCATATGCTATAGTAGGTCGATCTCAACAATTTTTTCTGAGATTATAGCGTGGCCTTCGATAATAACCCGTGCCATATAAGGTCGTGAAGATAACTTGTCAAATAAAAAAGTTTTACATACAAGGACTGAATTTTGATCGGTCAGTTTGTATGGCAGCCATATGCTGTAGTGGTCCGAGCTGAACAATTTCCGTAAATATTGTATCGTCGCCTTGGACAATAATTCGTGCCAAATTTCATGAACATATCTCGTCAAATAAGGAAGTTTTCCATACAAGAGCTTGATTCCGATGCTTCAGTTTGTACCGCAGCTATATGCTATAGTAGTCCAATATCGACGGCTCCGACAAATGAACAGCCTCTTGAGGAGAAAAAGATTTGTATAAAATTTCAGAGCGATATCTCAGAAACTGAGGGATTGGTTCGCGTATATACAGACAGACGGACATGGCTAAATCAACTCAGCTATAAGGGTTTACAAATTATATAGAGAGAACGTTCGTTTTCGCTATAATCTGTGACTTGGTAAAGAAAGACACGCATATCATTCGTTGTGGTGCATAATTTTAGTTTTATGTGCAAATGTGCAATTTTGTAAAAAAAAAAAATATTATACAAAGCAAATAAGTATACATTTCTGCATGAATGTATGTATATGCCATACATAGTAAATATAATATTACTTAAATATGCGATTATATAGTTTAGATAGTTTGTCGTATTCGTCGAATATTTCAAAAGCATTCATTTTCACTTTTTGCGTTCGCGTCCTTTGCTTTTTTTTTAATCTGCATCCATATTTTGCGTTTCCGCGTTCTCTTGTGTGCTCTCACCAGGCAGCGTAACATCTGTATCTTCAATATCCATATGCTCAGCTGAATTTTCCAACTCACGCAACTGTTCACGCAAATCATCTGGCAAGCTGTTTTCACTCAACGCGCGTGGATCTTCGCCCTCAATCACAATCTCTTCTGGATCGGGTGCACGTGGCAGGAATTCCGCATCTGCGTACAATTTAGCGAAGATCTCACGCGCACTGGTTATAGATTTATCATAGTCTAATTCATAGTAGGGTGTGCTGGTGCAAAATATCGGCGTGGCTGCATCTACATATGGAGTAGCGGCAGTACGTTGGCGTCCCATAATTGTGAAGTAAGCCGAGTACAATAACTTTGGCGCATTTTCGGCTGTGATATTGAATACTTGTGAAACAAATGGCGCCAGATCTTGCTCAGGTTGATCGCTTTGCGCAGTTGTTGTGATATGAAAGAGAACTGAAAATTAAGAAATTATTTATTAATGATTTCGTATGCAAAAATATGCGTATATTTTTAGGCGCCAACACTTACAAACTCCTTTGGGACAGGTGCCAGAAAAATGCGATAGCTGTATAAGTATAGCTTCATGCGAGCCGGCCAAAAGTCTAAGTACATTTACGCCGCCTCCACCGGAATTCAACTCTTCAGCGCCCAATGGTGTAGCAGTCAAGAAAATGCCTCGCGAAAGTGAATTTACTAATTCACCTTGTCCGTATACACCCAGATTTCGTTGTAGGAACGCATTAGGCAAATGTCCTGGTGCACTAACTACATGTTGCGCTTTTATGGTTTTGCCCGCTAGTATAACGCTCGCTATATTGGTATCCGCTTCGATGTTTATATCGTCGATGTGCCGCTTTAAACAGTAAATACCACCAAATACGGCGCAGAGGCGACAAAAACATTGTGGTATTTCGCCACAACCATACATGGGAAATAGAAACGGTGTATTGCCGTAACGTCCGAGGCTATTGAGAAACTGTTGCGTGCGCGCCATACCCTCTTCGAAGGTAGTTTCTTCGTTGCACATTGCAATCGCTTGCATTACACAAATACTAATCTTTTCGGTCACTTTCTGCTCTTGCAAATATTCGCGGAATGTCTTGCCACGAAATTGTAAGGCATCTTCGTCGGTTTTGTCTTCACCATATGTCATGCAGAGCGTTAGGAATTTCATGAGTAGTCGTTTTTCCACGATGTTCAAATCTTTAGTGTTGAAGACATCGCTGCGTGAGCAAGGCACATTGATTATATTATTTTGAAATCGCGTGCACACACGGTCCACTGCACGAAACTCTGCGTAGCGACAAATATTCGAAGATATAAGTAATTGCACCAAATGTCCGGCAGAATAGAGTATCTTTGGACTTAAATCTAAATTGAAGCGACGTGATTGCTGTAGCAATGTTTCACGCGACCAGTCTAGCACACTTTGCTTGGTATTAGCATCAGTTTTTGTGTTGATCTCGCCTGCTAAAATATCAGAATTGACAGTATCCGATTCCGCTTGGTCCAGTTTAAGTGTCTCAGCCACGTGCCATTTCTGAGTAGCATTGCGTAGTTCACTGTTGCTGCCTTGTTCCAAAAGAGCACAGAATGATTCCAAGTTAAAAGACGCCCAAACACCTCCATAATATTCATTAGGATCGATATGTAGCACAGTCTTGCCTATACGACTTGCAGCAGCTGCTACACAACTTTCCGGAAATCCAGTACCAATAACGATCAGATCGAATTTGTCTGGAAGATCGTCAGACATTTTTACAACTATTAATTTTTATATACTTTTCAATTGAATTTCTAAATATTTTCACGAAAAATAATTTTCGATGCAAACCGTACGCTGATGTATGAGTAATGTGCAAAACAGCTGTTCCTTGCACGAAAGATAACAAGAAAACAAAACTAATTAAAAGGGTTGTGCTCTGTTGACATTCGCAAAAAATATAAGCAAAAATTTCAAGTGATGCCGGTTGTAGTGCATAAATATTTTTATAATACCGATCGCAACAGGGTTAAATTCTCGAAATTTTATTTTGTTGCTGTTTTATTTACAATTAAAAACATATATATACACTATATATAGTATATGGTGAGATAATACCAACATGAATTTAAGATTTCAATTTGGAAACATGATATTATTTTATTAAAAAGCTTTGTGAAAATTTTTTTTTGCAAAATACAAAAAACAGAAACAAGAAATATTTAATCGTGTTTAAGTCACAGCAGCGTTTCATGATTCAATTATTAAGATTTCAGTTAATATTATTTATTTGTTAGTAATTGTATTATACATGATTCAATCAAGTCAACGCCTCAGCGGGTTAACAAATTTACATTGTTTTTGTTTATGGATTCTGTTCTGAACATTTTCTTATAAAAACTTACTTGTTGCTTAGCAACCTCAGCGTCAACAGAATAAGCGAACAAAACAAACGAAAAAAATTTCTTTAACATTGTTTTTCAATTCTGTGGAAAAGATTATTTGAGCTAGAAATTTTATTTGTAATTTAAAATATTAAAATATGTATGTTGCGTTTTAAAGACAAATTAACTTTAAAAAATAATAAATAATATGCACGCAAAAAATGGAAAAAAATCATAATTAGAAAATGCTATACACACATAAGTATATATATGTATGTAATGGGAAAATTTTAGGGCTGCAGTTCTCATTATTGGCTAGTAATTAATGTTTAAAGGTAGCAATTGTAAAAGGTAAGTAATGTTGTGAGTTTTACATATAAAACTAAATTTAAGCAAATAACTTTTTAATTCTTTGCAGTCGCGTCGAATTGGAGTGCGTATTTTCTTTGGCCAAGGCTTGTCTCACAATATATACCATTTAAAGGATATTCTGTGAAACATATGCTTAGTAATGTCATTCGACAAGTTGCTCTACAAATTTGATGACCCACATGGGCCGGGAGACGTTTATTTTATTTGGCAAAAGGGTTCCTTGGGTGGCCTTTTGGCTACCACTGGTTCGGATGGTTCAGTGGCGATATTCAATCGACAAGGGCAATTGGTTGAACGTTTATTATTGGCTGGGTAAAATTTGTAAAGTTGTCTTAATTAATTCATAACCATAAATCATTCATAAATAATTAGATTATGCTCTGGTTTTGCTTGGGATAATTGCGGCGATTTGTTGGGTATTATTAACGCCAGCACACCGGTCATCACTATATGGGATGCTAGCACGCAATTGAAAACGACCATTGAGTCAGGTTTACGTGATCCGCTCACTTGTATAGTGTGGTCCAAACAGGAACAAGTGCTGGCTGTGGGCACAGCGCGTGGCAATTTGGCTATTTATAATCATCGCTCTGGCAAGCGTACACCGATTTTTGGTAAACACAATAAGCGTATAACCTGCGGTGCTTGGTCTGCGCAAAATTTACTAGCGCTCGGTTCGGATGACAAAAGTTTCTCATTAAGTAATGAAGCTGGTGACACGGTGCGTGTGGTGCAATTACGCGATGCGCCCACTGATATGTATTTCGCACAAATGGCTAGTGAGGAGCGTGTCAGCGCCAGTAATGGTAGTCTGGGCGATGCTAGCGGTAATGTAGGTGTTGGTGGTGGCGGTGGTGAAAATACCGTTAGCATGATTATCGGCAAACGTACTTTGTTTCTGTACTATTTACCCGAACCGGATGCGCCAACCGAGTTGGGTTTTCAAAGCCGTTATGGTTCGTTGTTGCAGCACAAATGGTTTGGTGATGGTTATATTTTGTTGGGTTTCTCGAATGGGCATGTTGTGGCAATATCAACGCATCCACGCGATGTCGGACAAGAATTGTGGCAGGTGAAAAATCATAAAGAGGAGTTAACGGGACTCGCATACTGTCCATCATTGGATATAGTAGCGTCGTGTGGCGATGATACGTGAGTACCATTAGTGGTCTATGTTACAACAACATATTACAATTTGTTTTTTTTTTTGTAGCATAAAAATCCATTCAATTACCAATCTGCAAGAAACCGAAAAAATCATAACCGTACCTGACCATTCGGGTGTGCAAATGATCGACTGGTCCAGTGATGGCCAATTATTAGCTGTTACCTCCATGGCTGGCACAGTTTATATATATGTTACCAAATTAACGGTGCTGTATGCCGTCTCACCGCCGCGCATTGCTATTTTGAGCAGCTTGTCAGAGGTGTCTATTTACGTGTACTCGCCGGAAAAGGTATATATTTCTTGTTTAATTTTTTATTTTTTTGAAAAAATATTATTTTGATTTTTTTATGCAAATAGTTTATAATTTTAATAATAAATTTTTTTTTTAGACGTCCAAACCTATACCATATCGTCTGAGCCTAGTTGACGAGCCCAGCTTTCTGGCAATCGGCCCATATCATCTTGCAACCGGGCTCGACAATCATGTTTGGTTCTATGATCTCGGTAAGACTTTGGGCGATCAGCCGCAGTTACTCAGTGAGCGTGATTTCCCAGCACCCATAACCGATTTTGGTCTGAACGCCGATTACTGCGCGGCACTATGCGGTGCTCGTTTGTCATTGCAAGCAATTGTAACGGATAATCCGAATGTTAAGGATAAGCTTTCGCAAACATTCCCAACTGCGTTGGCGGCGCTTAGCGAAGCTGTAATAACCTGCTTCTGTTTGACGCAAGAATTCCTTATATTCGCCACTGATGTGAGTCAAAATATTCAAGTTACTGTATACAGTTATATTTTAATCCTTTTATACCTTTAGCTTGGCCATCTTATATACTTTTCGCTGGATAAATGGGATGTATGCACTAAATACTGTCATAATATGGGCATACGTAAGCTATATACCGACACTGAGGGCATGAAAATAATATTTGTGGATGAACATTGCCAAGGCTATGTTTTTCTACCGGTAATTAATCACTGTTCACACATAGCAACAATAAAAAATGTATGTGTTATATGTGTGTAAGAAATTCTTTTTGTACTATATTTCTAGGCTTTAGAGGAAGCTATCATTATAACGGATTTTCCGAAACAATGCGAGGGCTGCTTGTGGGATGTTGCACAGCAACACGTATTTATAACATTCGACACTAAATCGGTGACTACGCACGTCTTCGTGCGTTACTCGGTGCAAGGTAAAATACTTCCTTCCTATTAAATAGCATATTTTATGATTTACCACTCGCTGCCCTTCGTAAGGTAAACATACGTTGAAAATTGGCGAAAGCAAACTGAATTCTGCACAGTTGCCGTTAATGTTGTGCGACGGCGAAATGGTGCTACACATCGATGGTGGTCAATATGCTACCCAAACGCTATCCACACACCTGGTTACGCCGAGCATTAGCCCTAGTGTGAACCTAAAAACGCTTTTGAATCTCAAAAACTACGTGGAGGCCTACAAGACTTGCGAGCGCATGAATGCGCGTTCCGGTTGGTTGGAATTCGGTGAGCAGGCGATAGCCGATTTGGAACCAGATATCGGTAGGCAGCATACGCAGTGTAACGGTATACTTTTTTAATTTATTACTGCTTTTCCATTACAGCCTTACGTGGTTATCGACATATCGGTGATGCCGCTATGGTTAGCGCCTTGGAGAATATGCGCTACATTGAAGATGTAACCATGTTGACTGGCTTCTGTTGCCTTCTGTTAGGGAAATATGATGAGGTGAAAGATAACTTTTTGCGCGGCTCATATACCAAAGAAGCGCTCGAAATTTGCCGTGATTTGTTGCAGTGGGAGCAGGCATTGTTGTTGGCGCATAAATTCGAACCAGATGAGGTGCCCTTTATCGCGCGTGAATATGCTCAGCAATTGGAGTTCACGTGAGTTGATTGTATAGTAGCTAGTGTTTAGTTAAATATGCAGTTGTCAAGTTAAAAGTTGTACCTCTCGACCATACAGTTACTGATTGTAGCATTATTCAAGAGCATAGGTTAGAGTGAGGTTTTAATGTAGTTTTTGAGATATATATCTGAAATTTTGCACTCGTTTATTTCTCACCAAAAAGCTGCTCATTTGCTGGAATCGCCGATATCGGACCACTATAGCATATAGCTGCCATACAAACTGAACGATCGGAATAAAGTCCTTATATGGAAAACTTTTTTGTTTGAAAAGATATGTGCACGAAATTTAGCACGAATTATTTTCTAAGGCAAAGCTACAAACTTCGAAGAAATTGCTTGTAACGGGCCACTATAGCATATAGCTGCCATACAATCTGGCCGCTCAAAATCAAGTTCTTATATAGAAAACTTTTTTATGAGACGAGATATCGTCACAAAATTTGGCATAGACTATTGTCTAAGACTCTGCTACATACTTTGAAGAAATTAGTCAGATCGGACTACTATAGCGTATAGCTGCCATACAAACTGGCCGTTCAAAATCAAGTTCTTATATAGAAAACTTTTTTATTTGACGAGATATTTTCACGCAATTTAGCACGCATTATTTTCCTAGCCAACGCTACAATCTCCAAATATATTATTTATAACGGTGCTATTTTAAATATTTCGCTTTTTCGTAACTTCAGTTCAGGATGAAGAGTTTCGAACACATCAACTCGAATACTAGTAATTTTTATCAATTTTTTTCTAGTGGCAACTACGCAGATGCATTGTATCACTATGAAAAAGGCTACAAAGAAGATCTCATCAATGATCACGAAGAAGAGCTGTTAAATGTCTCGCCGGAATATGAGGATCATGTACGTCAATGCAAAATGGGCATAGCGCGCACTTCGATACGTGCTGGAGATTTCCGACGCGGTGTAATTACTTGCTAAATATTGCATATTACATAATTGTAACGGTACATTTCATATATTTCGCTTATTTAACCACAGATACAATATGCCGTCGAACTGAATGACAAACAATTACTATTCGATTGCGCAGAACTGCTGGCTACCGTGGGTCACTATACCGAAGCCGCTGGCCTGTATGAGCGCGGCGAATACTACGATGAGGCCTGCAGCCATTACATCAATCTGAAAATGTGGCATAAAGCAAATCAGATATTGCCACAGGTGCAGAGCACAAAACTACACGCCGCCTATGCTAAAGCCAAGGAGTCGGATGGGCAATATCAAGAGGCGATCAATAGCTATCGCATTGCCGGTGATTTAGATGCGTGCGT